AGGATTGTCAACTCGCATCGCCCTGCTTTCTGGTTTTAAGAGTCTGGCTGCACAATGCAGCCCCCTCCTCCCCATTATTTTGTAGGCCACTGCCACGAACATTACAATTTCTATTTCTTTTGAGAGCTGTATTTATAAATTAAACTTTTTTTTTCCCCCACGAGGAGTAACAACACAGAGTTGTTTCGTTTTTCTGGGGGGGGGGGGGGGAAAACCCTGCCAGCCTTACCCCCCCCGAAATCAACCCCCTAACCCCCCCCCCCCCAGAAAAACGAAACAACTCTGTGTTGTTACTCCTCGTGGGGGAAAAAAAAAGTTTAATTTATAAATACAGCTCTCAAAAGAAATAGAAATTGTAATGTTCGTGGCAGTGGCCTACAAAATAATGGGGAGGAGGGGGCTGCATTGTGCAGCCAGACTCTTAAAACCAGAAAGCAGGGCGATGCGAGTTGACAATCCTGCACCAACACAACACAACACAACACAATCCCGTCCCCACCTCGCCCCGTGCAAACAGAACAAAACTTTGCAAATTGTGTCGTGCCAGGATGTCATTTTTCCTTTCCTTTTCCATCCCAATCTCAGCCAGGGACAATGGATGACTTCAACAAACACTGGAGTCCGTTTTACACAACCTGGGGGATGGGGGAGGATGGACCTCAAAACACAAACGCAATTGTGTGAACCTCAACAACAGCCCCCCACGCTCCAATTTCCTTCCCTTCCACGCTCTAGGAGACAGAAGAATGCAGTTCGATCTGCCTAGCTGCAATCGGTGTCTTTTTACAAGAGGATTCAGCCGGTTTGTTACCGGTTGCGAATTTTACATCTGGTTCACCGAACCGGTACTTGCAAAGATTGGCTGGCCTCGCCCCTCCCAGGAGTCTCCATGCAACCCATTTTGGAGGTAAGTGCAGAGCCAGCACGGAGGGCGAAAAGCAGGCCTCGCGGAAACAAGCTCATTCCCAGCCTCCGGAGGAACTCCGTTTTCACCGTCCCAGAGGATCGAGGAACGCCTCCGGAGCCTGGGGGAGAGCGAAAATGCCTCCCCAACCGTGATGTAGGAGGCCAAGCTGGCCACGCCCACCCAGCAACAGGGGAGAGAACTGGTTGCTAAATTTTTTGAATTCCACCCATGGGAAGGGGGTGCTGGATGGCTTGAGTTCCTGCTTTGAGAGCACCCCAAAACTCACCACCCCACACCGCAGCTCTGCAGTCTGCAAACAGTTCAGGGAACCCGGAGAATAAGTTAATTGGAGGCGGGAGGGAGGAAACGAAAGAGGGGGGGCGCGGGGAAAGGAGCCAACCCACATCAAAGTGGGGTTTTTTTTTAAGTTGAGGGTATCCCGGCTGATCTGGTGTGCCAGATCAGGCACTAGATGGAAGGAGAGCAATGGGGGGGAGGGGGGCTGGGCTCCCTGGAACTCATAAGGTGTCGTAGTCCTCCTCTTCCTCGTGTTTCCGCTTTAAGACGTTGGGCTCGCCGGCGACGCTCTGTGAGGAGACCATGTTGGTGGCGATAAGGATGTTCTTGGAGCCGATCAGGGAGGGGTTGATCAGGACGTTCTGGACGGTGGGAGTGGTCGGCGTGGCTGGAGAGAGGAAGAGGGAGAAAGCGAGCGTCAACCACTCACATTAAGACGTCGGTAGATCCTCGATTTACGGCCGCTCGCTTAGCGACGTCTCAAAGTTACGACCCCCTCAAAACCACTCACCTGATTTTACAGATGTTTGAGAGGTGGGGATCTGGACGGTGAACCTCTGTCCGGTCAGCGAGACGGGGGTCCCGACTTTCGTAGAAACGGACACCGCTTGGGCCGAAGGAGGCCCTGCAAATGCAAACAAGAGGGTTGAGGGTTCGAGGCCAGGCAGCTCAGGCGGCAAAGAAGGGGAGATCTCACCCAGAGGCCCAGAAGACCCACCCACCCACTCACAACTGCCAAATGCGGGACTCCAGGTTCCATAAGGCTGAGAAAAGTCCAGGCTCTCCCCAGCAACCTCCCACCCACCCAGCTTGCTAGCTCACATGCTTATTTGTTTTATATAGAACTAGCTTCCTTAGGATTATTTTATTATTTTATATCTCAACTAGACAATAAACCAGCATTGGCCAGGGATTTATTTACCGGGGGGGGGGAGGGGTGTTGTTGTCCCGACCGAACGTAATTTCTAACGTTGGATTTTCCCCCTTACCAGAGGGAGCCCCCTTGTGGAGTACTGTGAAGCCGTTACCATGGCAACTCTACTGCGCTGTACAGTAGAATCCATTTTCCAGCAGTACAGTAGAAGCCGTTTTAAGGCACAACAGGCTATATCGTAACAGAACACACACCGAGGGGTGTTAGGGGTGTCTTACCCCCACAGTATTTGTCTCCAGAGAGCAAGTCATCTGTGTACCAAGTTTGGTTGAAATTGCTCAACGCGTTCCAGAGTTATGCTGGAACATACATACACGCACATACATGTATGTATGTATGTATGTGTGTGTGTATATTTGTGTTTAGGCCTGGGTGGTGGGTGGGGCTGGTTTCCAGATGTCTGGTAGTTGGGAGGTATCGTCACGTTTATTCATGTTGTGGGGGTGTTTCTCTATTTCGATAGCTTCCATAATCAACACTTCAATAAGAGAATAATTATGGAAGTCATCAAAATAGAGAAACACCCCCACAACATGAATAAACATGACGATACCTCCCAAATACCAGACATCTGGAAACCAGCCCTAGTCAACAAACGAGCCCCACCCACCACCCAGGCCATTACAACAC